GTAATTTATTGTTCTATGCTTCTTCCATCTTTCTTCTTTCTACTCTCTTCAACCTAGAAGAAAAGAAGCTTCTTTTGATCGATAAGACGTTGTTACTATATCTCATCAGATTCCTTTGGACAAGTAAATTTGAAGAACGACAATTGTTCAAACGATCGAGAAGCATGAATATTCATATTCTTGCAATTATTCGTTGTTACGAACACCTGTCCCAACAGATAACGTCGAATACCGAGTCGCAGTTAATTGCCTCATTTGAAATGGAACGACATTGGGGCACGTGAAGGCACGTGTCGAACGTCTCGAAAATTTGACACCTGCAGTCACAGTCAGAATTTACTTTGCGTAAATATTTTTTTTCTTTATTATATATAGAATCCAGTTTACAATTTTCCAAGTTTCTCCTCCCCCCTTCTGTTAAGAAATTCTTGTCGAATGTGTTTGAAAAAAATGAGATGCTAAAAGGGAAGAAGTTCGTGTGTCACAGGGTATGAAGGTGGAGGAGTATCACGGAGAGGCAAGCGAGGAGAAACAAGCGGATCTGCGCGGGTCCAGGCAGGGTCTGCCGCCAACACCGCCGAGCAGCGCTAGCTCCGACAGTGAGGGCACCGCTTCCGCTTCCTGTTCGCCGGAACGCCGAGATTCCCAGAGCTCCGCGCACGCACAGAATCTCAGGGGCTTGTTGACGCCCAGACTTTACATCAGCAACGGCACGCACACCACCCGACAACCGATACACACACCCTTGATTTCCTGTCAACCGGTCAGAGTCGAGCCAGCAATCTTTCTTTCTTTTTACTTTGAGATATCTTGTCTCACGAACCTTCATGTACTCTTGTAAAAAATATTGTAATTTGATGAAGTAAATATCATCATTGAAGTACGGTGAGTTACTTGAAAGCATGCTGAAGGTGGTTCTTATGTTCAGACTCATTGATATAACTGATTGTTTTGAAGTGGAAATATCTATAATTTTTTCAACGTCGACAAATTTCAAAAGTTTCTACTTCTTGACTAGATTTCATGTTGAGTAAAAGTTTCTCACCAGCCATTTTTTTTTTTTTTTTTTTTAATAAAACATCAGAACATAAGAAAAAAGTTCATTTTGTTTCTCTCAAACGTCGACCATCAGAGTGTTCGCAAATTATGCACGGATTTATCTTCTTCTAGTAGGAAGTGATTGATATTGCCTCTGTGTATCGCCATGTACAAATCCTAAGGTTCAATTATTATTGTAAACAGTGTGGAGGATCGACGTGGATTGTGACGTTGCGTTGAACTGGTTTTACAGAAGGGGTCGACAGGCGTGTTAATGTTGACGGAAGAGGAAAAACGGACATTGATCGCGGAGGGTTATCCAGTCCCAACGAAACTGCCTCTGACGAAACAGGAAGAGAAGTCGCTCAAGAAAGTTCGTAGGAAAATCAAGAACAAGGTAAGCGTTAGACCCTATTTAGTTCGTCGAAAAGTTAACTTAGTCACAGATATTATCACAACGAAAAATTCAGAAGATCCATTGCCGCCATAGTGTGAAATTTTTCAATTCTTCCCAACAGATGTAAAGGCATCAAATATAACAACTATTTACATTTCTCCAAAATTGATGATCACTTTGTTGCTCATTCATTTTTTAATCATTTTCTTGTTTTTCTTTCTCCTTTTTTTTTTTTT